TTTCATATATAAAAATTTTTAATCTATAAAAAATTAAATAATTGATATTATTTTGTAATTTTAAAATCATTATAATAATAAATAATTTATTATTTATATACTTATTAATCAATTAATTTTTATAATTAAATTAGATTAACAAAAATTTTATCATTTAAATTACTTGAACACTTATTTAATTATTTATATTTTTTATATATTTGTATCAATTACAAGTTTAAATTCTATTGCTTTAACTTTTCAGATAACTTTTCGCCAAATTTTAGGTTAATTTTTGACGACATTGAGTTTATTTGACATTTATTTGACTAAGAGTTGTTTTATTTTAATTTATTATATTCCTTAAATGAGAGGTACTAAGGAATAGATTTATAATTTATGATCATTAAATATATCAATTTAATATATAATTTATAATATAATATATAATCAATTAAATATATAATTTTAATATTGATATTAGATATTGATAAAAGTAATAAAATAAATAAAATGTATATATTATTAAAAATGATGAATTCTTTTCATTAAATAGTAATTAGAATTATTTGATATACGAAATAATTCATAAAAATCAATTTTATATATATAAAGATAGTTTTATATACTTTCATTTTATGAATTTTTAATTGTAATTGTTATTTTCGAATTTTATTCATCAAAATATAAAAATAAATAAAAAATTTTGTATCTTCATAAACAAAATTTAAGTAAAATTTCAATTATATTATTATTAAATGATTCAATATTAATTTTAATTAATCTGTTAAAAATTGCTTTATTTTAGTAAATTATTTACAATTATTATACATATAACTTTATTTAACATACATTAATTTGCATTTTCGCTCGAAAGTACATCAAGTACAATCATATTCACAAATACGAATAAATTTCTGTAGAATATATATTAGAATAATATATAATATATAAAATATATTTATTTAGCACAAATAATTTTTTTAAATTATTTAATTTAAATAAATACAAAGCAATATAGGAAATAACAAAATATAAAATATTAAATAAAATAAATATATAATTATTAAATAAAATTTGTTATTAAAAAAAATACATATATAATTAAATAAATACTTGTAAAAAATAAATTTCATGTATAATTTCTATAATAATAATATACTAATGAATCATTTTCCAATACATTTTAAACTTTTAAAGAAATAAATAAAAATAGTTTCTGTATCTATATTCATTTATATATTTTTATTTCACAAAATGATGAAATAAATAAATATAATAAAAAGTTTCTTTATAAATAAATATTTATTAATTAAATATTTATTCATATTTCAAATTTAAATAATATGATTAAAATTTAAAATAATAATGTAATTACAATAAATTGAAAAATTATAAATATATATATATAATTAATTTTAAAATTAAAATGAAAAATTTAATCGTAAAATTAATTATATCTAAACATAATATATTATATCTAAACATAATATATATAATTATTCATAATATTTGCAACAAAATTAATAAAAATAACGTAATTCATTTTTAAAAGATTTATGCAAAACTGAAACAAAAAGTATATAATATAATTAAACTTTTATTTATGAAAATTTTTGAATTTTTTTGTATTTCTTTAAAGATTTTATTCAAAAATATCTGTTGTGAATAAATATTTGTTTCAAAAATGAAGTTTCATTTTTAAAGTATTTTATGGGTTACATAATGCTATCAATTTTTTACATAATAGGATTACACAGTAGTAGTAGCAATTAATATATACCAAATTCAAATTATATTACGAAGAATTATAATTAAGAATATAATCGATTTATAGAAATCATTAATTTCAAACTTTCGTAGTATTTTGTAATAAATATTTCATAGTTTTTTTCTATTTTTATGAAATATTTGTTTATAGCAATATGTATAATAAATTATATAAACAAAAATATAATGAAGTAAATAATGTATTTTAATGTAATGGCATGAATAATATAATGCAAGTTTTTTT